ATAAGTGAATAGACCATTTTAGAATTCGTACAATTAATACAGCTGTGTTACTTGATAACAGACTCATTTACCCAGGGTTAGCTCCATTTCAGCGTTAAAGTATTAGAAAAAACCGTTTAAAAAGGAAAAAAAAGGAGTGAATTAAAAGGGAGGATGGGAGGGAGGGAGGGAGGGAGGGAGGGAGGGAGCGAGGGAGCGAGGGAGGGAGGAAAGACTTTTGAAAGGCAGGGAGGTAGAAACAAACGATGCAAAAAAGACTAAAAAAGTTGGTAGGGCTGCTCGCAGGGGTAGGGCTAGTACCTTAGTTATCATTATTCACTATCTCTCACCTGCTTTTTCATGTAGTTTTCTATCCACGCTTGTTTCTCTATTTCAAGTTTTTCTTTCAAGTCTCTCATTTCAAACTTATTCAAAAGAAGATGTCAATGTTAAAAAGTAGGATGGCTTGGTTTCACTGGACATCATTTCCTGTCTCGTGGGGAATGTTCATCAGCTGAATCACAAGTTTTCAATAGAATTCTTTCTGTCTGACAGCACATGGTTGTCAGTATTTGACCACCATTTGGAGCAGATAGTGAGATTCAAATATTTTTATCACCTGATTGAAAACTATTAATCATACACAGAAAATTATCGATCCAAAAAAATAGAAAAGTAAACCTTCTCTTTTACCTGGTGTTTGTTTTCAATATCGGCTATAGCTTTTTCGTGTGATCGTTGCAGCTCTGCTAGGACTGTTTTATGAGACTCCTACAAGATAACATTGGTATTACAATTTAAAAAAATCCCAGAATCCTTTTTTTCGCCTTTATCGTCAAATTTATTCTTTTGAAAATTAATTATCTTTTTAAATTGAAAAGAATAAATTTAAAGATTTGATTTGCGTTTCTTCAAGCATATATTTCTTGGGGGAAAATGTGTTTGAAGAAACACAAGTCCAATCTTAAAGAATTAATGGCTGTTGTACAAGGCTAAAATATTGTTATTCAGAAAGTTTAACTTGTTTGGAAGTGGAGATGACCGATGAACGTGGAATCAAAGTGTTAACCCAAAGCAAAAATTTTATTCGAAAATGAGGTATAGGCCTTCATTTGCTTATTTCCCATTATTTTCTATTTCACAAGCTTTTTGTGCTTTTTGCCATTATTGCTCATTATTGAAAAAAATTTCCTCTTAATACTGATAAGAATGAATTTGACGACAAAAGCGATAAATAAAGCATTGTGTTTCCAAAGATTGAACTGAACCGTGAACAGAACTTGATATAATATCGATTGCTACGTCGCTGGACTGCTATAGCAAATAGCCCGATCTCGAGTGTAATTTGGAATTGATGGTTTCAACCATTCCCAAGAGAATTAAATAACAAAAAACACGACGGCCATGTTGGACGATATAACAAAAGAATTCATTGACAATTCGTTTGTTAAATTCATCCAACATGGCCGACGTGAAAACCATCAATTGATCGGTAAGAGTGATGTTTTGAAAGTTTTAAAAAACTGGACGAGCCTTTATGCGAATTGTACGCGAAGATCATGCATTTTTTTGTTTATAATAACTCAATTGTACTCCTCTTGTCCAATCAGAATCGAGTAATATCGTTGAGTGCGTATTACAAATTGATTAATGATGGTAATTGAACTGAGTGGAGTGCAATTTGGTCTGAAATCAAACGCGCGATTACAAAATTGCACGACCGCGTAGCGGGAGTGCGATTTGTAATTGCAAGTTTGATTTCAGACCAAAATTGCACGACACGAAGTTCAGTTACCACTTAATCATATCCTTTTTGTAATCATGCACAAGAAAAAGACACAATAAAGAGTGCAGTCAATTCAATGTAGAAGAAGAACTAAATGCGAACAAAAAAAAACATCTAAAAAAATTTTTTTTTGATTTTTTTGTTTTATTTTGCTTTATTTTATTGTTAAAATTTTTTTTTTTAAAGATGCGATTAAGAGCTCCTAAGGATGCGATTTGGGAATTAATCGCACTCCTTTGAACCAATCAGATTGCAGGATTTGGTAGCGATTACAAAAAGGATATGATTAAGTAATGAATTATTTTTAGATTTTTTGGTTAAAATCTAACCTGTAACTCTGCTACGGTCTCATCCAGTTCTTGTCGCTGTCGTTGAGCCTGTGCTGCCATTCTCTCCTTTTCTTCCTGGAGATCTGAGTAAAGTCGTCGTCTTTGTTGTTGATATGCTTGCTCTTCTTGTTCCATTTGTTTCTCTAGTCTTTTATGTGATAAATTATCCAATCAGAATGGGTTCTTAGTTTCCAAAAAATCCCGATGGGTTTCCTGTGGTTTTGGCGGGAACTTCAAAACGCGTGCGCTGAAGGTGTCTTGCCAAGCTACTGTTTTCTCTAAATTATCTTCATTTAAAATTCGATAATAATTTTTCCGTGGCAAGAAAAAAATAGGGGGAAAAGATGCCACACTGAACGCTCATTAATAAATAAAACGAAGAATTCGAGTTTTAACCAACCTTTGTTGAGCCAATTCCCGTTCTTTCGTGCATGCATTTTCTTTCTCTCTTTCGAGTTGTTCTCGTAGTTCTTCTATCTGTTGAATGTACCGTCTACCTGCGCGTTCGTCTGCTTCAAGAAGCTCAGCCTGTCAATAAAAGACCACATAACGTATTGAACTTCTTCAAAGTTATTGTGTGCTTGCCTTTTACATCTCGGGTCTCTTCCTATACTCGCTATCACATGTGAGTTGAGTTTGTTAGGTTTCGTCTTTGATTTGAGGGTTTTTCTTCGTGTTCTTCGGTTTTCTTCCCTCCTCAAAATCTAAGGCCCTGGCTAAACGAGGAAACATGTTTTCTTAAATGTTTCCAAAGGTGGCAAAACTGCTATGGAACATCGGGAAACATGTTTACTCAATATCGGTTAGCGCATGCGCACTTTCAAGAGAGAGCTAACGTTGCTAAGAAACGAACTTTTTGAATGTTGACTTTCGTGGCTAAACGAGGAAACATTGGGAAACATTGTTTCCATGCGTCTTGGAAGCATGAAATGTTTCTGGCGCACAATAAAAACACTTTTGCGTCTTGGAAGCAAAATTTGTTGTTGTTTGTATTGATAAAAATAAATCCAAAAAAAAAAAAAAATTATTTGCAATATCGAAGGGATTGAATATTATTCTTTGGTTCTAGTTTACCTGGTGTGAAGATCTTAGTTTCTTGAGTTCAGCTTTATGTTTGGCAATGAGCTTCTGGATATCAGGCTCTAGTCCCTTTACTGTCACTTCCTTCAGACATGAAAATACTAAGAAGTCAGTTAAACAAAGAAGGGAGGTAGTACAGTGTACATGATTGTACATCAGACCTCTTTACCTTGACGCATTGTTTTCTCATTCCAGACCACGTGTCATTCTCTTGAGAATAATATTTATTATTGTTGCGTCTTTTTACGCGCAACCGTCAAACAAAGAAATAATACTCTAGAAAATGACACGAGGTCTGAAATGGGAAACTTGTAAAATGGTTTATAGAGAGTGACCTCTTTACCTTGGKAGTAAAGTTCTCCCATTTCAGATCACGTGTCATCCCTTGAGTATCATTTCTTTGTTGTAGTATCCGTATTCATGTATCCCTTAGGGAATGACAGGTGGTCTGAAATGGTGGTCCTCTTACATCCTACCTTAATCTGCTGCGTCTTCTCCGCTATCCATTTCTCACGACGTAGTTTCTCTGCTGCCATTATTACTTCTTTCTGCTTTTTCATCTCTACAGCATGGCTGAATATGCAATGAAGAGGGAACGGGGATATTTTATTTCAACCACAGGAAACATTCAAAGACGATATTTAAAGGTTGAAATGCAAGTTGAAATGCAAGTTGAAATGCAAAATCAGATCAAAATCAAGAACACTAGCAACTAGTTCATACAGTCAATTCAAAAAAACGTTGTCGTCGACCGGCTCAAGCCTACGCGACTGGACCGAAAGGCTAGGAATATGGGTAAGAATCACAAGCGGTTAAATATTCGTTCTGAACCAATTATTCCCGCTAGTAGTAAAGATAATAATGGCTAGAAACAATCCACTAAATGCATGTCTTTGGGCTTAGGGAGAGAAAAACAAAGTAGTTATGATTTAGTTCACAATTTCGAAAATATGAAGGCATTAAAAATACGTCTAATTCAACACTTCCCGCTCGCCTATGAAGGTTCGTGCTGCAAACCATAACTAGTCGAATAAAATTACTGCAGTCAACTCGGCTTCAATGATTACTATCCAGAGTTCCTTTCGGTCCAGTCGCGTAGGCTTGAGTTGGTCGACGACAACATTTTTTGAATTGACTGTATACAATCCTGATTGCGTCCAAAGACGAAAATACTCAAGTCCTCGAGCTGTCGAAATGTAAACACAAAATACAGTGGATGTAGCGAGTTTTAGAGCAATAAGAAAAATATATGTCTAAAAAGAATTCCGTTGCAGAAAATTTCGATTCTAGTAAAGAACTGGACAAAAAAGAAACGTAGATAGAAAAAAACTAATAGGATTTTTCTAAAGATCCTCAAAATAAAGCGATTATGAAATCCATGGCGGCTTGGGCTTCCTGTGATGCAAACGCCGGGAAGAAATGGAAAACACTCACGTCATTCTCTTGAAGGGCACCTGTGACAAAAAGATACTAAAGTAGAAACACCGTATCGTATATTTATTACACCCTTACTTTTCTTCCAGGGTTTTTATCTTGTCTGTGTACTTCTTATCAACAGTTTTCATCTTACTCAGCAGTTCTTCACATCTTTCTCCCAAGATTTTCTTATCGTCAATCAGTTGGTCGATAAACGTCAAGTGTCTTTGTATGGTCGCTTCGTATTCTTGTTTTTGAATGGCTAGCCTTTGTTTGGCGTCCTTTTCTGATTCTTTTCCTTGACGCAGAGAAAAGTCTCGCTGCTGGTTCTACAAATTAATTATCAGGAAAATAAAACTATAACAGCAGCACTAGCAACAACAACAGCAACAACAGCAACAATAGCAGCAGCAGCAACAGCAACAGCAGCAACAGTTGGAAACAACAAAAGCAGTAGCAACAACAATGATAACGAGCACCAACAACGACAGCATCAGCAGCAATAACAAGAGCAGCAACAGCAGGATGAAAAGCAGCAACGACAAAAGCAACAACAACAGCAGCAGCATCAACAGCAACAGCAACACAATAGCAGCAGCAACAAAAGCAAATACAACAGCAGCAGCAGCAATAACAGCAGCAACACACTGGCAGCAATAACAGCAGCAATAACAACAATAACAGCAACAACAACAGCAGCAGCAGAAGCGTCAGCAGCATCATAAACAAAAGCAATGACAGCAAAATCAGAATCAACAGCAGCAGTAGCAACAACAGTAGCAACGCCAGCAGCAACAACAGTAACAACAACGACAACAGCAACAACAACGACAACAACAACGACAACAGCAGCAAAAGTAGAAACGGGAGCACCTCAAGCAACAACAACAACAGCAACAACAACAAATCATCAGCGACAACAAACAAACGTAAAAAAGTAAACTGTTTGCATCATCCTTACCAGTGCTCGCTGCAGAAGTTCATTGGTTCTTTTTTTCTCTTCTAGTTCAATCTTCATCGCCATCATAGCATTAGTAACATCAGCAGCATTAGCCGACATTGATTCCAAGGCAGCCATTTCTTTCTTGACTAGTTCGGATCTCGCTTCCTCTCTTCTGGAAATTAAATAACAAAGAATATGATTATCCCACACATAACTTATAGCTAAAACTTGTTTTCTGGAGAGAAATAGCATTAAGTAACGATGCCGTTTAGAACGATAGCACCCAACGGCAAGGCATGTGCAGTGAAGATTTCTATAATTGGCTTAAATAATTATATCCAAGCTCTCTGATTGGCCGAAAAAACAGTCATTGTATTTTTTACGGAAAAACGCCGAAATAGTATCGAATTGTCATTCCATTTACCAAAGATACATCGGAGCTATTGTCCGAATTTTTTTTAGACCAATCATATGTGAGGAACACTCGGAAATCGTTCCCCACATACAATTTGTTCCAAACTCGCCTATGTTATCAATCGTTGTTTAACAAGTCTGCTCGCCAATTTACGGCAACTATACCGGACTTGTATAAGAACAAGAACGAAAATAAGTTTGAATTTGGCGCTTTTCGAATTTAAGCCAATAAGATTGAAAAATACAATTTAATTAACACTGCCGTAATCCAAATCGTAAACGGCTGCCCATGCCGCGGGCCTATTGTTCTCGATATCGTTCTAAACGGCATCGTTACTTAAAAAGATTGAATATTTTATGAAGATTTGTATGGAAAAACCTGTGGGGGCTCAAGCTCTTACAAGCTAACACTTTTCTCATACAAATCCTTTTAAAATGTACCATTTCTCCTATAGTCAACATTCAGAAACTTCACTTCCTGAACAGTATTTTACGGGATTGGCCACGTGACCTCTTGGTGCAAACAGCCTAATTGATTTAAAGCCCTACCCCCCCCCCCCCCCCCCCCCACAAGTCGAGAAAAATACAAACGCAGTCATGACCTCATTCACAATGTTACTCCAAGGAAAGATCAATATTTAACTAACAAATAAAAAAAAACATGGTGTCCACGTTAGCACGAGTACCTCGGTAAACAGTCAGACAAAGCTCTCAAACATGGAAAGTATGGACCAAATTCACTTGGGCGTAATGTTTTGCCCATTTCAGACCACGTGTCATTCTCTCGAGAAAAAGATTCTTTGTCTGAGTTATATCCATATTCATGTGTCTTCTCATGCGCAACCGTTAAACAAAGAAATGACACTCTAGGGAATGACACGAGGTCTGAAATGGGAAAATAGTGGATTACATTTATTATACTTACTCTTTCTGTTTTGCTTCATCGATATTAGCACTGGGTGACGTCAGTCCTCTGGAAATGGCCTCTTCTCTCGACTAAAATTATGCAAAATAATATCACAGATGTACGAACGTCAGTAAAAATATTTAATATTCGAAATTCTGGGGAAAAAACTATTTAGTTTTAGAACCAATCTATAGCACTGTGTCCGGGTGTACGAAGCCTATCAAGCGGATAAATCCTTATCCAGTGGATAAGGTCGATGCTGTGATCCACTGGATAAGATTTATCCGTTGGATAGCGCTATCCAGGCTTCGTACAGCCTGGCCCTGACCCCTAACCGAATCTAAAGTTTCGTGTAGCTAACCTGATGGATTTCACTTAGTGTAATCTCTTCTGCCTTTTCAACCTCGTCCAGGAAGTTAATGATAGTTCTGGAGAAAGTCAAACAAAATTAAGGTGGTGTTACCCGGAGTCACTTTTTATCGCGCAACAAACTTGTGAAAAATGTTGCCAGGAACATTGCCTGGTCTAACATCACCTTCAGTGGACCATCCCTAGACGGTCGTATTGTATTGTTTTAATATGAGTAATTACCAAGCGACCGGTATATCGAGGATCTACTGGTCGTTTAAGAGAGGTTCTTACTAAGGTATGACTCCAGGTAATTACCAAGCGACCGGTATATCGAGGTTCTACTGGTCGTTTAAGAAAGGTTCTTACTAAAGTATAACTCCAGGTAGTTACCAAGCGACCGGTAAATAGAGGTTCTACTGGTCGTTTAAGAGAGGTTCTTACTACTGTATAAGTAAACTTACTGTAGTTTTTCCGCTGAAAGTGCTGCTCCATTCTCACTACAAAACAAAGTTTACACAATATTACAAAGTTATCGGAGCCATAGAAGATATGTCATTCTACAATAAAAGAATAGCTGGAATGACTTGCGTTTCTTATTATTATTCTCGTCAAGTAATGATAAAAGGGTAAATTTTACACCGTGAAAAGATGAAAAAACTTACTAAGGTGTAATCCTCTTTCTCTTTTACTCCGACGAAGGACTAGCGTCCGAAACGTCAGTATTTTTTTTCATCTTTTCACGGTGTATCATTTACCCTTTTATCAATACTGTTTCATTAGAAACACCGACGCAGCTCACACTAGTGTTTCGCTAGTTATCTCTTATTATTCTCGTCAAGTACATGGAGAATCCAGTATTTCACTGTCTCCTACCCTGTTTTAGGGGACAAGATAGGCTAAGTCTCCTAGAACAGCCCCACAATGCACTGCAGTGCCAACTCGACCAAGTTTTCTCCTCAACTTCGGATTAGCTAAAAGACTTACGTGTCTGTCTTGTTTTGTGATAGCTGGTCCAAATTCTCGGCGGAAAGATAGCGTTGCTGAAAAAGAAATATTTAAGGATGATATTTGGTCAGATTTATGAATTGTAATCTCTACAGAGATTGATCAAGAATGTTTTAGCTTAGATTGGGAAACCTATTGTTCTAGGTTTTTGTTCGACTTTATCCATTGTTATATGACTTTGACCCTGCACAGAGAAGGAAAAGTTGTTCCGTTTGTTCACAGTACTGGGAAATTAATCCTATATGATTCATATTAATTGTTTACTGAGGAAGAAATTGCCGTTGACCCTGCACAGAGAAGGAAACGTTGTTCCGTTTGTTCACAGTACTGGGAAATTAATCCTATATGATTCATATTAATTGTTTACTGATGAGGAAATTGCCTTTTTTAGTGCTTTTTTATTTATCATTCAGTAGCTTAACTGTTTCGCCGTGGAAATATTTATCCGCATGGTTTGTGGTCATCTAATGAAAGTTTTTACTTTCAAAGTGTTCATGGATGAAAATAATAAGGAAATGAGTATTTTCAGCCATACTTGCTTTGGTTCATGTGCAGGGTCAGTATCACGTAATGGTACGGTTCAACCTCAAACGCGAAACAACAGCTTTGTTCTGTGGAGTGTCCAAACCATTCCGCTCCATTAACTATGGCGGAAATTAAAAAGGGGGGTATGAAAATGGCCGCCATGCAGAAAAAGCTGGCTTCACAAAAGGGGGGTTCCAATTTCATTCAATTGAACGTAAAGAACATGATTGGCTTCACCAAAAGGAGCCCAATTTAGATAAAGGTGAATGGCGAAAATAAAATCAGAAAAAAAAAATTCATTACGTTTTAAATTCGAGGTCAAGATAATGTCCTCCGTAATGCGAAAGAGTAAAAAAATCGATAAAAAATGTTCTAGCGCCTTTGTTTTTCCTATATTAATTATATAATTATAATAGGGGAATAAAAAGTAATGAATTATTTATTTTTCCGATTTTATTTTCACCATTCACTTTAATCTAAATTGAGCTCCCTGTGGTTGAATGAATAAAA